GCTGTACAGTGCCTCTAGCAGAATTGAAACAGCTGACAACATTCCCCAACAGCAGAGGGCAATGCAGCTCCATTTATCTGTTTACAACAGAGGAAGTGGGTGTCTATAGTGGTTCAAGGGTAGGCTTGTTTATGTGTTTGTTTATCTTGACATAGAACCTGGATCCTCTGACCTCAATGATATGTGGAACTTTCTGAGTCACAGATAACGACTGTTCACATTCATATTTTTGACCATCAATAACAAGGTGGGTCTGACAGCATCAGGGGCCTCCAAATGGTACTAGTCCTCTGTGTTGAACATTTACTTGAGAAATCAATACTTAGAATATACAGTGTTGGAAAGACTTTCATTTGTCGGCTAACATAGAAGGTCACAACGTGGAAATTCCAAACAAGAAATTGTATTTTCATAACTCTGCTTACAATGTAGGATACCCACCCACTCCTGTCACTAGAACCTGGACCAGAATCAGAGCTGCTCCTGGGAATTATTTTGGAGGACGTGACTCTTGTCCAAGATTCCCGTGTGGCCTTTTGATCTTCTGTTCCTTTGGAACATTTATCTGTGCTCAGTGACTTCATTCTTATCATGTAAAATGATGCCTCTGACAGTTCCCTTATTATGTTATTTTGTTTGTTTGATTTCACTAATAAAGGAAAGATATTGGGGTGTCAAGAGTTTAGTTGTCCAATGTGAGATAAAGAAGACAGGGGACCCTACCTTTACGTATCTGGCAAATCCAGTTGTTAAGGTGTTCACAATTAATATCATTCCAGGGCATACCAGGGTCACCTTTCATCTCACCACAAAATTCAACATTCTGATAATTATTAGGTTCTCCATAAGCCCAGTTTTCATAGGAAACCTACATTAGAAACATTGAAACGCAACCATTAAACATTTATGTTAGGAGAGTGCGATCATTTATCTAAACAGGAAAGGAAAAATGTTTGCATTTTTAAAAATCCATTTACATTTTTTCACAAGCTTTGCTTTGAAAGCACAGTTTACGAACATGAGCGGGAAAGAAATAGCCTTAATCACATGGAAACTTTTGAAGTCAAATAGAGTGTGTAATGGATTATCATAAAATTTTCTTTACTATCATTAAATAGAATGGATTCAAGGGCCACAAAGCTGGAATTTATATACAGGGAAAACTTGGCCAAGATAACACTCCACTTCTCAGTATTGGGAGTTCCTAAGTTTATAACCCATTTTTAAAGGGTAATTTTTCAGTGTGTTGTTAGAAGCTTTCTCTTTATTAAAATGAGTAGGATAAAGAAATACAATGAATTCTTCTCACTAAAGAAAAAGACCTATAAACTGTTGCTAACAAAGCTATCAGACTTTGCCAAAATGAACAGTGGAAACAAATGGAATCCCTGGTTTAAGTCATCTATGTAGTTTTTAACATGGAATCATAGCCCACAGGATTTCGGAGTAAGCATTATGATCTATTTTCCAGAGATGTAAATATAAAATCCAAATATCAATGGAACTATCTAATAAACCATTTTACCCAACTGCCTTGAAAAGTTGCTGGTGGGTTATAAGAGGAGGTAAAACTCAAATCATACAAAATAATTAGAGCTACTAAATATTGCCAGCCTGTGCCATAATCTCTGATTTCTCCATTCCTGAGAATGGAGAACTCTGATAAAGCTTAACAGTTATTAATGGGAGTATCAAAAGTGTTTTCAGTTTTACTAATCTATAAGAGGCTACAAAACATTCAATTTTTAAGGAGTTTAACTACTGCGCAACAATTTTGCATGGTAGAATAAAGCTATTATTTTATATAGACTAGTGGAATGAGTTTTCATTGTTTTTTTTTTTGGTTTAACTACTGCGCAACAATTTTGCATGGTAGAATAAAGCTATTATTTTATATAGACTAGTAGAATGAGTTTTCATTGTTTTTTTTTGTTTGTTTTCATCCAATCAATGACAGCTATGTCTTGGGTGAATAGGAGAACTAATCTGGGCAGGGGCAGGATAGTGGTCCTAAAGTGTGTATTTTGCATAGAAAAATGTCTCTAGCTATCTTCATGACCTGTCACATTAAAAATTTGGATTAAGCCAAAGGATAACATCAACATAAATACATGATAAAATAAGAAAATAATATATTAAATCAAATTACTCACAGGAGAGCCATCACTCCAAGTGAAGCCCTCAGAAGGACTTTCGTATGTCAGTCCCAACCAGAACAATTCATGGTAGGTTCCACTAGCCCTACAATATTCAAAACAGAAAGAAAGCATATGCTGTTACATAAAACAAGTTTGGCAACCTATGAGGATTAACCAGATTTGAAAGTTTCCTCCAAAACATAAATTAGTAGTACACAAGTAAAAATATTTAACAGCTGAATA